AGACAGACAGACAGACAGACAGACAGACAGACAGACAGACAGACAGACAGACAGATAGAGCGAGAGACGAAAACAGGGACAGAGAACAAATTTAAACGTTTCGAAACAGAAAACACTTGAAAAACACCTTTAAAAAAATTATTTTAAAAAACAACAAAACTAAAGAGAAAGTGTTCAGTCAACTTATGTGTGATGATATGACTTTGTAAAATTTATTTTAAAAAATAGACAAATAAATAACAGGAGATAGACATGACCTTCGGTTTTGGAGCAGTTGAACCCTCTCAAAATTTAATGTTAAGTCAACAAAATCCTCGCGTCTCCTCATGAGAAGAATACTTTTTTTTAAAGCAGTCGAGAGAAGGAAAAAAAAGAAAGCTCAGAGAGGGCCGAGTATTTACTTTGATTGACCTTCTAAATACAGAAACTGGAGAAGGAAGCTGTTGGTAACCTTATGGGGCATTGACATTTATTCTTATGATTGGGTGTGAATGATTCATTATACAAGTATTAATGTTGGACAGGTCAGTATTCACTTATCAAACAGAAATTTTGAAACGGATCATCATTATGATCATGACCACCATCATAATCATCATCATCATCATCATCATCATCATCATCATCATCATCATCATCATCATCATCATCATCATCATCATCATCATCATATTACAATCATCATCATCATCATCATCATCATCGTCATTGTTTGGAAAGCAGAGTAGGAGGGAGAGTCTTGTTTGATTTTCAGACAAAATAACATAACAATATAAAACGTTTAAAATTTGTTAACAGAAATCATCATCATCGTTATTATTATTATTATGATGATGATTACTATTATTATTATTATTATTATTTATCATTGTCATTACTATTGCTATTGCTATTACTATTATTATTATTATTATTATTATTATTATTACTTTTATTATTATTATTATTGATATCATTATTATTATTATTATTATTATTATTATTATTATTATTATTATTATTATTATCATTATTACTATAATTAACAAGACTCAACTCCATGCATTGTCACATTATTCAGTGCAAAAATCAAATTTCTTTGAGAATTATTCCCCTTCCATAGCACCTACTGACCCCGCAGAAAACAAACATGTCTGACCCAAGGGGGTCTGACCTTAGCGGATCAAAGGTCATCTTGCCAAATTGGCATTTACACAGAAGAAAAAAAAACTTGGCCAATATTCAGATACGGCTGGCTAGCCGATGACAGAACAAAGTTCGTTATGCCAAATTGGCATTTTTACTCAGAAAATGTTGGCCGAGATGCAGATTCCTCTGGCGAGACGAGGGGTGCGTGTCAACCTCACTTAATGGTTAACTTCTGATCAATGGGATTGTTCATTGTTTAGAAAATGTAATACTTGTTTTAAGAACGTAAAGCCGTTATCTCAACAGGGATTTAACTATATTTGCTCACGGTTCTCTTCTTCTCGAAACCCCCCCCCCCTTCTCACAATCATCCACTCACCCATATCATCAAATTATGTCATTGTTATAATTTTCATTAGTGTTAGGCTATTATTATTATTATTGTACTACACACACACGCTCACACACGTGGCACACACACTCACAGACACTTAGACACACACAAACGCGCGCGCACACACACACACACACACACACACACACACACACACACACACACACACACATATATACTAGCCATATCCGTGTGTTGTCCCTATGGCCACCGTATATTTGCTGGTTCCCCCCCCCCCTTTCTCTCTCACACACACACACACACACACACACACACACACACACACACACACACAGAGAGAGAGAGAGAGAGAGAGAGAGAGAGAGAGAGAGAGAGAGAGAGAGAGAGAGAGAGAGAGAGAGAGATAATGTACTCACCATGCCCGTGTGTTGTCCCTATGGCCACCGTATATTTGCTGGCCCTCCTTTTCTTCTCGTGCACGTTCGGGGCAGAGAGTACGGCCTGCGTCACTTTGTGGGCGTGGTCGGAGGGAGTGACGTACACACTGCCACACCGCACCTGACAATGAACAGACGGTGGAAGTTTAGAAATTATGTACCGGAATGCAGATATTTATAATAAATAATAACAATAACAATAATGATGATGATAAGAAAATAAGAAGAAGAAGAACAATAATAATAATGACAATATTTTTAGTATTCATAATGATAATTTAGTAATGATAACAATATCAGCATCATCAGCAACAACAACAACAGCAGTAATAATAATAATAATAATAATAATAATGACAATAATAATAGCTTAATAATAATAATACTGATGATGATGATGATATTGATGATAATAATAATAATAGTAATAACAATAATAATAATAATTCAGCAATGTCCTCCGGTGAAAATGAAGCTCAAAGCGCTTTACAGTAAGAACAGGAACTTAGAGCTTGACAAAGAAATGATAAAGATGGTAACATTTAACACAACAGAAAGAAACCCAGAAATATCACCGGGGTGTAGTTATTGTTGTGCTAGGGTGATTTCTCTGAAATGATCGTAAGCCTCCATTGCCTTCAACCTTTTCAACATATTTTTAATTATTTAGGAATCGGGCTACCTCCGCCTTACCTATATGTATAAAAAAGCATATGACGCTCGCATTAACACAATTTAGGATAGATAAACAGTAGGGTACTTCAGTCCTGCCTATCACTCAGAGCCAGCCTGGACTGAGAGGGGTACAATTCCCCAGTACACAGATGGAAATGTAAGGGGTGCTGACAAAATGATACAGGTGAAGAAATGGAAATGGATTGGACACACCCTGAGGAGACCCCCGACAAGCATCATCAGGCAGGCTTTGACGTGGAACCCACAAGGAAAAAGTAAGAAGGGAAGACCAAAGATGACATGGAGGCGAGCGGTACAAGCGGAAATAGAAAAAGCGGGGACATCAGGGAAACAGCTAGAAAAGGATGCTCAGGACAGGCTTCGCTGGAGTTATGTTGTTGATGGCCTATGCTGCACTGGGAGTTAAAAAGGGAAAGAGAGAAGAGAGAGCTGACAAATGAGTGACTTCTCACAATCGCGAAAGGACATATCGGTCGAAAGTTGATACGAGGTAAAATGTGTACATTTCTAACCGATATCACTTTCTTCAACTTAAACGTGTCTTACTTTTATCATTTCATACTTACAATTAATTTGTCAAAACACAACTTATAGATCTGACGTAGCTATTAAATGGAGGGAAAATCTCTAAAGAAGTAACTCATTTTGTCAGCATACCTCACAAATTATAGGCCTAGTCGATACAAATCTCAGCCAACACGGAAATCGGGCTCGCGTAATCCGCGTGTGACGGAGAAGCGCTAAACCATGACACCATGCACGGACTTCAGAGGTTAGTTATTCTGGGGTCCGGTGTATTCTATGGTATCGCTTAAGGGTCCCCTCCCCCACACCCACCCCCAGTTTAATCATTTTCAGTTTTTTTGGGCACTCCCCCGCTCCTTATTCCATATCCCTCGTATATTATTTTCATATATAAATGAAACTCTCGATGCTTTACGTCCGCATTAACTCAATTTATGATAGTATAATGACAGGAGGGCACTTCGGTCCTGCCTATCACTATCACTCAGCCAGAGCCAAACTGGACTGAGAGGGGTACAATTTCCCAGTACACAGATGGAAAATAAATACAATGTAGTCGATATAAATCTCAGGCACCACGGAAATCGGGCGCGCATAATGGGTGTGTGACGGAGAGGCGCTAAACCATGACACCATGCAGCGACCAGATAATAGTTGACTGTGATCCGGTGTAGGTATTTCCGTTATGATTTTATGTACAAGTATATGTACTTAAAATTGCTTATTATTCAGTTGGGTAGTGATTTCAGTTACGATGGGAGGTTCATGAAAACACACGTGGGCGCGCACACACTCACACATACTATCTCTCTCTCTCTCTCTCACTCTCTCTCTCTCTCTCTCACA